TTCAGAACCTTAAGAATAAGTTAGAATATTCTAAGGGCAAGTGGCCTGATGAGCTACCGAGAGTGCCATGGGCATATCGGACAACGACGAAGTCGATCATGGGAGAAACATAATTCTCTCTCGTGTGCGGCGCGTAGGCTCTTATACCAGCGGAAGTGAGGGAGCCGACTTTGAGGTTTTCCTGAACAAACAAAGAAGCAAACATCGAAGCATTACTGGTAAAGCTAGACTTGCTCGATGAACACCGAGACTTGGCGTACGTGAGGATGGTGGCTCAATTGCAAAATATGGAAAGGTATTACAATTGTAGGGCTAATCTCCGTTATTTTAAAGTAGGAGATTTGATTTTGAGTAAGGTCACTACGAACACTCGGGATCTACGTTTCCCCCGGTAAAGGAAGGCGGATATACTACCGGTTCAGGGCCTTCATCTTCTTTAGTCTCCCCTTCGGTTCCCGAATACTTAGAATTAGTATTTGAGGAGTAAGTTGTAGTGGGTCGATCAGGAAGATTTTCATGAGCAATTAACTCCAATTCCCGAGCCTTGGCAATACACTCATCAATATCGGCAATGCCAACTTTGGCCTCCTTCCAAGGTCTTCCTCTTCATGAGGTACATGTCATAAGTCTTCTCGAAGATGAGGGAATTTTCTGTCTTGGAGTTTTGCTCGGAGTTTATCGATTTCGGCCTGAAGCCCTTCTCTTTTGACTTTCATGGCGCTGAGGCAGGAATCAAGCTCAACATTTGTAGTTGCGTGGAGTCGGTTTTGCTCCATGATTCTCTTGAGCCTCTCTTTCATTTTGGATCTCTTCTCTTCGGCAGTTTTGGCCTCCTCGGTTTTGGAGCATAAGTTGGCCTTCAAATTATTGATTTTCTCCTCGAAGGCAGACTCGCGCTCGGAAACGACGATGGTAGCATCGTGAAGTTTGGCCCATTTAGCATTAGCTTCTTGAAACTTTTCATATAATTGGGCAGTTTCTTGGCAATGGGCCATTCTATCTTACTCGCTATTCTATAACCGAGCCTCAAGCTCGTCCATATCTGCAACCTTTGCCTCCAGCATCGGGAGGCGTGCGCTAAGCTGTTTCCTTTTAGCTAAGAGTTGATCTCACTCGGAAGCAAGTCCATGTTTATTAAGGATCAAACTTTGCAAGCCTTCAGAAGTAGGAAGGTTGGCCTATAAAAAGAAGGTTGAAGTTAGGATTACCGTTGCAACATGTAAGCAGAAAAGAAGATATGAGGAAACTAGTATGATACCTGTGCCACACTGTACATACTATTGTTTATCAAACACTCCCCAAGGGAGCCCATTTTCTTCCAATCTTTCGCTGAAGCCAGCGGTTTCATCTAATTGGCAAGCTCCACCGGCCCAGAGAGGACATAGCACTCCTTCGAGATTGAAAGAGTGGCGTTTCGCCTTCCTTGGAGATCCTGAGAAGGCATAACGTAGGTGATCCCCAAGTTTCTGTGGTCAGGAGACCGAGGAGGAGAAACATTCCTATCTCGATCGGCTGATGCCAGTGTAGAAGGTGCAATTGGTGCTGGTGGCAAATGAGCAACTGGTGTCGGTGGGCATAAAGTTATTGGCATAGAAGGAGAAGAAACGGTTGTTAAAGAAGGGATGTTGATTGTTTCTTGCTCAGTAGATGAAGGCAGAAAGAGCTCGAGGTTCGAGCTCCTTTGGCCGGAGACAACAATGGGGGCCGGGAAATGAGAATCAACATTCTTGACCGATCCCTTCTCACCCAAAGTGCCTCAACTTCATTTGATGATGGGTCTTGGAGGTCCCCCAGCTGAGCATCGGGTTGAGCTGATGAAGATCCTTTTCTCCTTTGAATAGAAGCCTATTCATCACTGGCTTCTCCTTCGTCATCGACGACCACTGTAGGTATTGTGGCCGGCTCGGTTGGTGTTTTCTTTGCCCTTTTCTCCTGAGTCCCAGCCAAGGAGGAACGTCTCCTCTTCGGTTTCTTGTTCTCGGGTTGGGGACTCCAAGAGAAGGCACCCTCACCGGAGGCTTGGGCAGATCTACGAGCTCTGTTTCGAGAAAGGGCATTTTGCAACACCCTCCTAGCTTCTTCGGGGTCATCTAAGGCGTCGACTTCAGGGGAAGATGACAGAGCTCCTCGGAAGCCCTATATTAGGCAAAAGTAGAGTCAGCAATTTATTCATGAGATTTCTTGTGTTCGAACAAGGATAAAAGAAAGAAGGACTTGGCTTACCATGGTGCTTGGACTTTCACCCGTATTTAGGGGCCATTTCCTTCCACCGTCGGGATTCTGGAGTTGTAATTTCCAGAATTTATGAACCCAATGGTCCAAGCCTTGAACCCGTGGCGGTTCCCATCGAGTAGCTGAAACGAAGGAAACCAAAAATCAACAAAAGCGGGAAATGATCTTTTCAGGGAGAAAGGAAGAAGATAATCGAAAACATACGAAAAAGGTTCCACGACTCGGGAAACGCTGGAGTTGTGGTTGGGATGATGTCCCTGGTAGCAATAATAACGAACCGTTCCATCCATCCACGATCGTTGTCGTCATCTACACTGGTGAGAAGAGCGTAGTGACCACAGCTGCTAAAGTGCATAATTGACGAAGGGAGGCCATCGTCCGCCATATAGATGGGACTACTTGTGCTAAGCAGATCTTATATCGGTGGCAAAACTCTAAAATTATTGGATCGAGCCCTTCACTCGACCCCAAAGAGAAGGGACCCAAGGTAAAGGGATACGTATAGACATACGTGAACCCCTCCTTGGAGTAGGTAAATTGCTCTACCATATTTGGGGCGAGAATTTTAATATTGGGGCAGTTGCAGTCCTCCTTCACAATTGGGATACTATAATGGCGAATGGAGGAGGATACCTATGAACTGGACAAAGTCGGTGGCCTTGAGAAGTTGCAGAAGGAGATTTTTCTTGAAGGTCGTTTGCAGTGTTGAGCTGAAGAGGTATGATGGTGCTAACAATTGGAGGTTCAGACTCAACATCAACCTCCTTGTTTTTGTTTTTCTTTGGGCCTCCATCGAAGAAAAGACCGGTATCACTGAAGGAAGCAGTTTATGAAGACATGGTGGCAAGAGATTTGTAAAAGAAAAGTTCTTGTTGAGGAAGTTGAAGGTTGTGAAAGGTTTCTAAGAAAATGCAGAGAAGAAGAAAGGTTTATAAAAGTTGTGAAAGTGAATAAGTAAAAATGTTGAGTAGCAAAGAAGTTATAGACGACAAAAATCGTGGTTATAATTATCTCAAAAATCGGCAAAAATATTTGCTGAATCGCGGGGCAATACGTGTTCGGGGTATTAAATGCGAGAAGACGTGCGTCCTTTCAAGCATCAGTGACTGTTCAGGAACTTTTCCGCCAAGAAAGAAATCTTCACCTACTTTCCGGTAACACTAAGTTACGTCGCTGGAAAGTAGGGGGACTATTTGTATGGGGTAAAATTAATTAATAACAGATGGCCGAATAGTAAAATAGCGCGTGGAAGCAAAGGACGAGTCGGGAACACAACCAATACTAGATACAACATGTGTGACCGGTACCGGATAAATTTCGAAGGGAACGTAGTCGACGATAGAAGTTTAAAGGTTTTTCATCGGATAACATTCAATGAGGGAATATTCGCTAACATTAAATGAGCGACTGTTGTAGAGAATATTTGTATTCAAGGCATGCCGTTATATGTTCATCAATGACTTTTTTATTCTCATTTAAGAGGAACTTGATCCTAGGATCCTATTTCCCTAGGTAGAGCTATAAATAGCGGGGGTCAACAACTATTGTAAGCACATGAAAATATTCTGCACAAAAAAGCTATACTTTCTTATTTTGCTCTCAATTTAACAACTTTATCGTCGCTTTATTACTCCCTTCGTTTCAATTTATGTGAACCCATTTGATTGGGCACGAAGTTTAAGAAAAGAGAGAAAACTTTTGAACTTGTGGTGTAAAATGAGGCACATATATTTTGTGTGGCTATAAATCATTGCATAAAGGTAAATTATTTCCAAATAAGGAAAGAGGTAATTCTTTTTGGTACAGACTAAAAAGAAAATAGATTCACATAAATTGAAACGGAGGGAGTATTATTTTCACTGCTGCTCTCGGAAAGGCTGAGTTTGGAACTAAGCTTGTTATCTTCTTTAATTTCAGCCGTTAAATCTTAGTTTTAATCTTATTTCTTTATTGTTTTGGATCAAATCGATTTGCCTATCTATAAACTACGTTATAAATTCAATTGTACCGTTTTACGGGTAAATAATGTATATTACCAAAAAGTTGAGACCGTAGAAGTTGTTAAATACAGTTAAATGAACCAATAAGTAGAGGAATAGGTAACTAGCATCTATCAAGTTAATTAGGCCTGCACTTTGAATAGTAAAAACTGTCAATATGCATTGGGAAATCCTACCAAACTAAGTGTGACCTTCAAAGAATGAAAAGTTTTGTTTGCTGAAATAAAAATATTTGTTCAATAATTGCTTTCTACTCTTGGTCTAATGTAGGTAGGATAACAAAGACTTATCTTTAGAAGTACCAATCAACATAATAGGACGTGTTGTTCTTTTGTTATTTGCACGACTTCTATTACATCATAAATAGATTTCAAAGTATTAATCAATGGCTCTGCTGCATTTTATTTCTCCTTTTTGACATATAGTAACATATATGTTAAATATCGTGCATAAACTTTTTGTTTTACACCAACTCTTCACTGGTAAATACTTATTTGTAGCGGATGTTTACATAAATCTTAGTAATTAAAAATTAATGTGAGAATACATATAATTTAATTATATATATTGAGAAATATAGTATGGAGTAAATATTTATAAATATTTGACTATAAACCTAATTATTAGTTATATATTATATAAACTTCAAATGGTGGATCCTTTCCACCCCCACCAAATTACATGGGGACACCAAATATAGACATGTGTCGTATATAAGGTGAAGAGAGTTTGCGAGGAAGAAACCACAGTGTGGTCTATAGTAAGACAGACTGAGAAGCTAAGGACCGATCAGAATACTAGCTCAATTGTGAAAGATCGGTACAAGTGTAGTTCGTTTTCAATTTTGAAACTGGCGTCTAATATATAGAGTATACGGACATATATATAATATATATAGGAGATCATATTGAGGGAGATGAGAAAAGGGAGAGCAGCATGCTGCGATAAAGGTAAGGTGAAGAAGGGGCCATGGAGTTGTGAGGAGGATCTTAGGCTCATTTCTTTCATTCAGAAGCATGGTCACCCCAACTGGCGCTCCCTCCCTAAACAAGCTGGTACGTAGCTCATAACTCAAATAAGGTCATAGTTTCAGTAGTTGGAATCCGAGTACTACCCTTAAGAATTACAGTAATATTTAAGATTCGCGTATATGAATAGTTTAAATGTGTCCATATTGCTCTTCATGTTTATGAGGCGCATATATATCTGGTAATTAAAAGCTTTTCCTTGGGTGATTTATATTGCCCGTTCCAGTTCATTTGATCAGGGAATTAATAGACCCTTATCAATAGAAACAACAATGGAAACAAAAAAAGGGAGGTGCAGTGCCCATAAGATTGCCTTGCATGCCCAATACAACAATAGATACAAGGTTTAATCAGGTCAGCTAGTTCGATAATAACAAGTCTCTGCCTGCTGAAGACAATTTCTTCTATATTATTATTGGGCCAAAGATATATTTGACCATAGCAAAAATTTTGTGAAGCTAATTGTTTGACCAAGAAATATAATTTTCGGTTAAACTATTAAATTTATATAATAAAGAGTCAAATCTGGTTAAAGATAATGACTTTATATATTATGCGTAAGGATACACGATAGATGAGACTGAGCTCGCATATGATTGATGACAATAAATATGAAATACTCTTGCAACAAGAACATTAAATGAGATATATCTAGCAATAAATGTCAATAAATGACATTTATGTAAATAAAAAGAATGGTTCACCCGATAATGAATGGACAAAGTGAATGTTCTGCCTGACAACGGTGAATGACAGATAGATCAAAGATTTGCATGAACAATCCTTGGATCCGGTGAAAAAGCGGGGAATAATATGAACTAAAATCTGTATAAAAAGGTAGTCTTTGTGTTTTTATCCTAAAGGAGTCTTCTTCTCAAAAGTTTTCTTATCAGAAAAATATTACATGCCCTTATCATTGTCTCTTCTTTCTATATATATGGACCCATTTTCTTAGAAAACACCAATAGTACAAACACCAGGAATATTCACTAGAATATTCCCCTTTTTAATACCCTATTATGATAAATTAGCCATTACAAGTCTTATCACTAATAATCGATCTCTACCTCGACCCTTGTGACATTTTGACTGCGATCTCTATTGATATCTCGACCACCGCTTATATCGACACCGCGACCATTAATCTCGCTATGGTTTAGGCGAGCTCGACCGATGACATTCATTAATGTCATTTTATGCTAAATATTCCAAGGGCATATTTTTGGCCTATACACTAACCATAGCAAAAATATTTTGGCGCAAATTTGTCGTATAGAAATAGTTGGGGGTTGTGTAAAATCTTNATATTTATATATATATATTTATTAACAATGTCATGACTGAGACAATCCCCAAATCAGAATAATCAACTAACAGTAGGTCTATATATAACTAATGAAATTTCATTTTCAGAAAGCGGTTGGAGAAAGTAAGGCAGGTAATTAATTACTGGTAAAAAGTCATCAATGGTCCACGGTCCACCAGGAAGAAAAAACGAATTAAGTTACTTGCAGCTGGCAAAAACTTCGAATATATTCACCAACTTGGTCAATTAAAAATATCTTGTGTTTTGTTGATTTTGTAGGGCTACTGAGGTGTGGAAAGAGTTGCCGTTTGAGGTGGATTAATTACCTAAGACCTGACGTAAAGCGAGGAAATTTCACTCCAGAAGAAGAGTACACTATTGTCAAATTGCACCACTCTTTGGGAAACAAGTATGAATCATATACCCTTATTATACGACCAAGCTTGTGAAACATCTATTCCTAGATATCGATAAATTTTTGAGCATCTTTTCAATATTATCTTTACTCCTACGTCCAAACATGCATATATATTCCCTAATTCAACGTCATCATTAATTAATGGACAGGTGGTCAAAGATTGCATCTCATTTGCCTGGAAGAACAGATAACGAGATTAAAAATATATGGAATACACGCTTAAAAAAACGATTCAAGAATGCAGAATTAGATGGTTGTGCTAATTCATTTTCCCCTCCTTCTTCATCAACTTCGGTAGTGTCACATACTGCCAATGAGGGAGAATTCAAGAACGTCAATGATGACAATATGATAACAGAGAAAGAAGCATCAAAATCTTGCTCTCCTACTTCTTCCTATGCCTCAAATCTTTCCAATTTAAGCCAAGTTGAGATTTCAGGTCCAAATGTAGATATGGATTGGATATTCCAACTGAATGAGGAGCCTAATCTTGAGTACTTTCCATGTATCACCGCGGGAAAGGTGCATGATAATGAGGGGATGATTGAAATCCCATTGGAAGGATCTGGAATTGATTTTTGGGACATGTTAGATATTATGAGCCCTTCTCCTAATTCAGAGTCCAAATTGGACAATCATTCTGAGGGGTCTGATCAGCCAGTTTGCCAAGGCATATCGGAATTTGAATGCCAAAATTGGATGAGATACTTTGAAAATGAACTGGGTCTTAAGTAAGACTACTACTGCGTCCAATTAATGTTACATCCCAAGACGAAGAAGCCCGTCCTCCCATTAATTACTCCCATGCAATTATTTAACTTTGGTCCTTCACCACCTTCAAATATTAATACTATTAGCAATTATTAGCTAGCTAGAGAATAAAAGCAACCTAAGAAGCAGACGTTTAGAATTTAGAATTTAGGGTTCAAATGTTAATATTACTTGTATACTACAGAAAGATAATTAGTGCAAAGCGTGCGTCTCCACACAAGGAAACAGTTGGAAACCCGCCTCTTTCAAAATTTTAAGTAAATTAAGAATTCTATACTTCTTTATATGTAATTAATAGCATCAGTTGAATAATTAGAACAAGACTGTTCCAAGTAAAGCTTTACCATTTGACAAACTCAGTACGTAGATGCATTTGTGACAAAGTCTTATTCCTTAGTTTCTTTTCTGTACAAAGGGAAGTGTCTGGAACCTAAGCAACAAGTTTTTGGACTTAAGGGACCAAAATAGGTCCCTTAAAAAATTGAATAATATTTTATATATAGCGCATATTTTACGTTAACGACCAGAACCCTGTTAATGTATAGCGTATGTATTACATGCACTATACCTTAATTCAAAATAGGTCATGNCCTCTTTTTTAGATTTTCTTCCCCCATTGAAGCCCACAAAGGTCCCACAAAAGAGCGCGGGTTTTGTAATTTCGAAGATTGAAGGTTTATCTGTGCTGTAGAACAAAGTAGGTAGTCGAATTTCAAGAAACGGTGGTCCAAATCCACATTCAAACTTTTCAAATATTCTCAAAATTTAGGTATTTCTTAACACTTTTCTCTGTATTAATTATTTACGTTATGTATATTACATGTGTATTAGCTATTGCGCAATTTATTTCGGATTTTTTTGCAACTTGTTTTTTTTGTTAGTTGTAGTAATAGTAAAATAGATCTCGGTTTTTTTTTAAATTACATAAAAAAAATTAGGAATAGTTATAATTTTTGTATAATTTACAATATTTGATTTTGTTTGACAATTTTACTGATTATTTGAAATTTAGCTAGATTTTTTATTATTTATTTATTTTGTTGAATATTATTTAATTGGAGAATTTTGTGAATTTTATTTTTTATTAATAGTATTAAATGTATTTGTGTAATAGTATGTAAAGATTAATTGTTTGTTAAATGCTACTACTTTATTTATTTGCCTGCCATAAAAGTAGTATTTTGGTTCCTACTTTGGTTATTAAATTCCTGCTTTGCCCGCCATATAAGTTAAACCAATAACATACTTTAGGATTCTTTGATTGTTGAATAAAAATTGGATAGTTGGCAATACAGAGAATACTCTGTCGATATTTTGTCACGAAATCCAGAAAAACAAAGGTACAAAACTTTATTGATTATGTAGCATCCCGTAAAATGTTGTAACATCAAATATTTCTTAGCTTTTGAGTAACATTTTATTGGTGCCCTTAAAAGGTAAGTTATAATTTCTTGATTAGCCATCTATTGCGGGGTTATTAAATTATTAACGGAAAAGGGCCAAGAAAATCCTTGAACTATTTGAAATAGCTCAAAAATACCTTCCGTTTGTTTTTTGATACCAAAACTATCTATGCCATCTATGTTTTGGACCACAAATGCCCCTTAAAATGTTAGTCTGGCCATTGAAGCTGACATGGCAGTCCAAACGGGTTAGATTTGCTTACGTGGTCATCCACCTAAGCAACTGGGTTAAATTTGTTAATGTGTCCGTCCATTTAGGCAGCCCAAACTTGGCAGAAATCTCCTTCCTTTATGCTTTGTTCTTCCTTGTTGAACCATAATTACAACAAATAAATCAGAAAACTGAAATACACCAAAAATAGTTCTTCCATTATTCTTGTTTGAGTTGCTCTTCGGACTTTGAAACTCCAATTTCGAAGTGTGCTGAAGTTTGTTTGAAATTGTACATGTGTGTCGAAGGATCGAGCTCATTGATTGGGTTTTAGGGTCATCAGATCTGAAGCTCACATTTAATTCAGATGGTTGATTGTTGTTGAAAATCTTGTGTAGCAATTCTTCGTGTGTCAAAATTTAAAAATAGCTGCTGATTTGAAACCTTCTTGGTGAAATTTCTTTTATAAGTTGTTGTTGGGTTATTGAAAATAATTGCTATCAGATTTTAAGAGTTTAATTGTATGTTATTGTAAATTGCTTCGATATTGCGAATGAAGCTGAAAATTAAACTTTAACAACTGATTTCTTGGTTTGAACATCTGAGATGAATCCCCCAAAAACAAACCATGGAAGAGTTCTTAAAAGCCTGATCTCAGAGGAGGTTCCTCAGTAACAACATTAGAAGTGTTTTCAAAAGGTCTTGAAGAAGACGGTGTTTCGTTTTTGGGAACAGACTTTGAAGTTTTTGCCATTTTTATGAAGGAAAGAGATTGTTGATAAGGGGAAGCTTTGAGAAAACCAGAAGATGAAGAAGATGAAGTCCTTAGAACGCAAGAAGGATTTGAGCGTAAAAGTGCTAACAAACGGATTAAAGGGTATTTATAGGTTCCTCAAGCGGCGGTTCATCTCCTGAGGTAGCCGACCGACAACTGACATACATTTAATACTTCGAAGACCGGGATGATGAGACATTTCCATTATTCTTATCACCTACGTCATGTACCCGTCGTCATGATTTATCGAAGTAAGGACCGAGGGTTCATATCATTTTTAATCGCTTACTCTCCAAAAAATGAGGGGACTATCTGTATACGGGTAGAACCGAGCTCAATGCTCGATCGAGGAATCTGAAACAATGGGTCAAGTCTCGGCTCTTACATGAGAAATCGAAGGTACCGATATAACTGAGCTTGATATCGAGGGTTGAAGTTCGAACAAGACCATCAGATTTGCCCTCGAGTTTATCGGGGGAACGACCGACCCCGTTCTAAATGGCCTCGAAGAAAAGCTTTACCCACTCACACGACAAGTATCCGTGGTTCTCGTATTTGACCAATCATTATGGCGGAAATTACAGAATTAAGGCAAAAGGGGAGCCAACGGTCTACATAATTACTAATAAAATAATGCCTTAAAGGTTTCATCTCCCCGTATATATAGATGGAATGGAGTAATTTATAGGGGAACATTGTAACATACTTTAAAGAACAACATATTATCTTTTAGAGCTTGGTTCATATTATTTTGGCTTCAGTAACATTCTAGCGTTCCAAGGCTTTAGTGGCTCAATCTGTGTGGTTTGCACTTGTATTCCTATTTATTTTCCCATATTAAGTCTGATTCCTCACTTTGTATCGAAATATATCATATATTCTTAAAACCACGGTATAAATTCAATTGTTATCTGATTTTGAGGGTAAACAGTTTGGCGCCCACCGTGGGGCTAAAGATAATAGTGTTATTTGATACAAATCTTCATAACACACACTGCTTTACACTTGTTCTGTGAAGTTTCTTTGATCTCAGGCCAAAAATGACAAACTCTGAATTGACACCTCTACATATTGACAACAAGGATGGTCATCAAGGTGAGAATAACAACAAGGTGCCTGCTAATACGGGACCACCCGCTGATATCGTTGGGATTCAGACTGCAGATCCAATCGATGTGAATTCGTATGTAGCCATCGACACGAACTTGCATACTGACCCTGAAAATAACATCCATGGTGGAGCCCGATCTGCAGCTCGGAACACCCAAAATATTGAAGAAGAAGGGATCAGCCTACGCATGATCTTCGAAATGCTGCAAGCTCAACATGTGGCGATAGCTCAGTTGCAGAGCCAAACCCAGACACCGAGCAGGGTTAAACCCGATCCACCCCAAGAAGTCTCCTGCAAAATAGAACCGGCCGTGGTAAGGTCAAACGAACAAGAATCAGGGACTAACCCCGAAATTATAAGAATGCTTGAGGAGCTAACAAAGCGGATAGAGTCAGGGGAAAAGAAGATCGAGGTGAACGATAAAAAAGTTGAAACCTTTAATTCCAGGGTAGATCAAATCCCAGGAGCACCCCGATATTGAAGGGACTGGATTCCAAGAAGTTCGTGCAAAAGCCTTTTCCTCCAAGCGCAGCCTCGAAATCGATCCCCAACAATTTTTGCATGCCCGAAATATCTAAGTACAACAAAACAACCGATCCAAACGAACATGTGACCTCTTATACATGTGTCATCAAAGGGAACGACCTAGAAGGCGATGAGATCGAGTTTGTTTTGCTGAAAATATTTGGGGAGACCCTGTCAAAGGGAGCCATGATATGGTATCACAACTTACCTTCTAATTCTATTGACTCATTTGCTATGCTTGCAGACGTTTTTGTAAAAGCACATGCCGGTGCTATCAAGGTCGAAACCAGGAAATCAGACCTTTTCAAAGTCAAATAGAAGGAGAACGAGATGCTCAGGGAGTTCGTGTCCCATTTTCAAATGGAACGAATGGATATGCCGCCGGTCGCTGATGATTGGGCCGTTCAGGCTTTCACTCAAGGACTCAATATTCAAAGCTCGGTGACTTCGCAGCAATTGAAGCAAAGCCTGATAGAATACCCTCTCGTTACCTGGACCGATGTGCATAATCGATATCAATCAAAAATCAGAGTCGAAGATGATCAACTCAGGGCACCTTCGAAATCTATATATCCTGCCAGGACTCTCGATAGAGAAAAGAGGGACATCGATCGTGACCCAGGATCAAACGGGGATCGATATCGGCCCTATAATGGAGATCGAAGGAGCAGTGGGTCGAGACGAAACCCCGTAAGCAACGACAGGAGAAGTGATCAAGGTCGAAGCAATCGGGGACTCATGACCAAAAATAGCTTCGACAGGTCCATCGGGCCTAAAGAAGCATCGAGGTTATCAGAATACAACTTTAACATCGATGTTGCTGCCATCATATCTGCTATCGGGCACATTAGTGATACCAAATGGCCTCGACCTTTACAATCCGATCCAGCTCGAAGGGACCCTAACCAGATGTCAAATATCATGGCACTCACGGTCATAAAACGGAAGATTATCGATAGTTGAGAGAAGAAGTAGCATGTTTATTCAACAATGGGAACCTTCGAGAATTCTTGAGCGACCGAGCCAAGAACCTCTTTAGGAACAGGGATTCTAAAAAACAGACCGGACATGAAGATCCCGAACCACAGCACGTCATAAATATTATCATCGGTGGAGTCGACATCCCACAAGGGCCAATGTTGAAACACACTAGAATCTCCGTCACCAGGGAGAAACGAACTCGAGACTACATACCTGAAGGAGCCTTATCCTTTAGTGACGA